TGGTGAGAGAGAGGATGAGGAGAATCTGCCACAGGAGGGGGCATAACTGATGGGAAGAGAGGAGAAGCAAAGAAGATGATTAGGGTTACTAAAAGTAGAAAGGTTTGCTTCTTATAGAATGTACTAGTGGTCCTATTTTTCTTTTTGTGTTGGAGGGAAACTTCTAAAGGTTTCCCTCCAAACTGAAATTGTAACTCTTGTCTAGTTCATATGCTTAAAGGGAGGAACTGTAATGTTTTGCTTTTTTTATTTTTGTCTTATAAGGGGGCTATTCTTGTATATGTTGAATTCTACTTGTACTTGAGAATAAATGAAATGTTTTGTGTGCTTTTCTCCCTAATTGCCTTTATTTTTTTCAAATTCAGATTATTTTTTTAGTCAGAAGGGTAAAATGGGAAGTCAAAGCCAAATGATACAACCCCTTAAAAATGAGAAAAAGTCAAACCGGGAAGATGGTTTTAGGACGGATGGAGTATAGTATAAATTGTATTTAAATTACTAAGAATTCAATAAATTAACGTAACACGAAAATCTAAAGCATATGATTTTTAATAGTTATATTTTATAAAATATAATTTTTGTAAGATGCAAATGTATTAATGTTTTTAGATATGGAATATAGTATTGTATAAGGAGTATTGTAAGTTAAATTACAAATCGATGTTGGTCCATCATACAAAGTACATAGTATGATTATTCAAATATTTGTTTAGGATTCAATAACGATTCGAATATTAATCAAATACATATTCAAATCTTATTTTGAATTCGTTTCATATTCGGATTCGTATTCGAAAAAATTAAACAAATACAAATTCAAATATCTTGGTATTCGCTTCGATTCGATTCGTTTATACCCCTAGTTGTGATGAATGGTATTGGCTACGTAACGCATGTGGAGAGTACAAAGTCAAGGAGGAGGGATATATATGATCGAGACAGTTCCCATGACATTGCCCGACAATGTCATGTGATGATCCGAGATTGCTCTTGTGCCCCATTCGTAAAATTGACGACATACGATTCACGCCTTAATTGGTGAAACAACAATGGTGGTGGGCTTCTTGTGTGGGCCTTTTGCGGGCAATTACCAAAATGAAACTTAAACATATCATTTTTTTAAAACGGGACCAGTAATATCTATTCTAACGTTTGAAAATGGAAAGTTCTAAACTACCATGCTTTTGAAAAAAAGTTAAATTTGTACTGAAAAGGACTAAAACATAAGTCATCTCCCAATGTTGAACTTAAACTTTTTTATTCCCTAAATAGGACTTAATAATGACTAGTGAGAAGAATAATGTCCAAGTGATGCTTGACATTTAGTTGAATAATGACTAATAGATAATGACCAATGGTCCTACATTGGGAAATAAAAACATATGGTCCTATATTGAGAAAGTCGTTATGTTTTAGTCCTATTTAGATAAATTACCCTTTGAAAAAAATGACATATTACATAATTCAAGTAGAATAAGGCATTATTAAAAATAATTTGAATAATCATTGAAATAATCAGTCATTATCCAATACTTCTTACTAATGATCACATTCGCTGAGTCATTTGTATGATCAACCATTATCCAGCTCTTGTTAGTAATGAGGGCAAAGATGGCAGATCAAATGAAATTATGGCTGTGTTTGGGATTAGCTTTTTCCATAGTAAAACGTGGATCTAAAATAATTAGGCTCCGTTTGGTACACGGAATTCAAACTATGGAATTGGAATTGAGGACTTCAATTCAAATTCTGGTGTTTGGTAGCACAAAAATTATATGGATTTGAAATAGATAGTGCAAAAAATGAATTGGAATTGGTGAATTCAATTTTATGGAATTGAATCCTATGGAATTCTAATTCCAATTCAATTCTATTTCCATCAATTCCGTATACCAAACGGACCCTTAGTGTTTGTTTCCCGATAGAATGAGAAGCGTTATTCCTCGTCCGGTACCCTCTAGACGCTAAACGCAGAACGCTGCTCCCCTCCAGCGTTTATAGAGTATTTTGGCGTTTTTAAAGTTTTCGAAGTTTGTTGGGTTACGCAACACTTTTTTTAATTTGCTTATGAATGGTATGATAAGAGAATCGTGTGCTTGTTTTTATTTTTATTTCACTGGTTTGTTTTGATATTAACGATGATACGGATGAGTATCAAAAAAAGTAGTAATAAACAATAAGAAAATACTACAAACTTTATATATTAATTTACTCCATATTTATTAATAAGTACTCTATCGTGAGGAAGAAAGATCTCCATGGCCCTTTCAAAGGGATACCGAGTAGTCATATGCATATGAGACCAAGAGTGAAGCAATTGCCGTTTCAATAAACTCCGGGGTATTTTAGTAACTTAAAATTTATTAACGTTTTAAAAGTGTTCAATTACCAAACAATAAAAAATTAAATTGCTAATCACTAACTCTGATGCTAACAGCTAAACTCTAACTCTAAACTCTAACTCTAAACTCTAACGCTGTTCCCAAACAGGCCCTATGTGTCTTAAAGAAAATAAAACATACTTGGTCCTGATTTAGTACTTTTAGTGGCATATTTGAGTTAAGTCCCGCTTTGCTTTGGTTTTTTTGTTCCGCAGGCTTCTAACACACATACTCTTACTCGTAGAGGAGAGGAGAGGCCCAAACTGGTTCTTGGGTCACTACTCTGGATTTTGTATTATTCACTCTTTTTATTAAATTATTAATGAAATATTTTTTCTTAAAAAACAATCAAATCGAGTAGTAGTATTCTATTATTAGTAACTTATTATATTCTGTAAAATACATCGAATACTTCGTACTTCTCTCACTTAAATATATTTTTTACACGTTAATTTTTTAACACTGATTTTCTAGATAAAAGAGCCTATTAATGTTCCATTTTTGTGACAATTTTGGGACACTTGATCTGGTTAACATAAGTTTTGATCTAATCTGATTGTAATTCTATTTAATGTTATTTCTGATCTAATCTAATTTCAATAAAAATAATTAATAAGTAATAAATTAAGTTAAGAGAAGAAGCTCTAACACGACCCACTTCAACTTAAACCCGTGATAGTTTTACGTGAAATCCCATACGGAGTATATCACAACACATGCCTAGCAATTTTTTCCATTCTGAAGCAAAGAAAGTAGCATTTTGTACATAAGGAAAATTCTTGCATGGAGCTAAAGTTCATAGTTTATATTGTAGATTTTCATATATGTTAGATTTGTATTTTCCAAGTGTTGAGACTAGAGTTTTTAAAACAACAATCACCCAGTAAAATCCCACGGAAGTAGGGTCTGAGGAGGGTGTGTGTAAGCAGACCTTACCTCTACTCGGAAGTAGAGAGGCTGTTTCCAAGAGACCTCAACTCGAATAGCACAGAAGCAGAGAGCACACAGAAAGAAACATAAAGTAGGTGAAGAAATAGAAGAAAAATGGACTAGACTTTGTTAAGCACCAAAGCTACTGCCATACTACCAAACTATAATAATTCTCTCTCCAAACACTCCGGTCTAAGATATGACCTCGGTAAACTCCAAAAGTCTAAGGTCTTGACTAACCACGTCTTTTCAAGTCTTCTTAGGTCTACCTCTTCCCACATTCCCACCCACCACTGAAAGCCTCTCACATCTTCGCACATGAGCTTAGGAGTGTTCATGATTATCTGACCTGAAAAATCCGTCCATGATCCGATCTGGAAAACGGGTATCCGATCCAATATTTTTCCTTTTCGGATATTCAGATCGGGTATCTGAAAAAAATCGGATCGGGTAAGGATTTAAATTTTAGGTTTTTTCGGATATTCAGATATCTGATTTTCCGAAGTATTTTTTAAAAAGGTTTTACTTGTACCCACAAACCCTAATTCTTGTCGAATCTGCTGCTTCAGACTTCATTCTTTTACGTTTCAGACTTCATTCGGACATTAAGACGCAAACTTGAATCTTTTATGACAATCATTCATACTTCATTCTTTTGCTACAAATTTTAGACTTATTCGGTCATCCCTCTTGGCCAAATCGCAGAGAGCCGGAGACGCACACGATAAATTTCTCAATCTCTCTACTCGGCGATTCTGAGAAATCTTTCTCTCTGTTTGAAGACTTCAAGATGGATACGACCACATCTCCTTTTACCACCTCTATGTTGAATTCGGTAGCAATTAGGGGTTGTTTTTGTCATTTTACTATTTTTTTTTGTATATTCTGGTTAAAAAGTTAAACTATTTTGGATATTCCATTGATCTGATCCGGAAATTCAGATATCCGAATTTTAGATTTCCGCATATTTTCAAATCGGGTATGAAATGAGTTTTACTTGATCTGAAACTTTTGGATATCCAACATTATGGGTTGGATCGGATCGATTCGACTTAACACCTCTACATGAGCCTCAGCACCACATTGTTTCACATGCCAAACTAGCTCAGCCAAGCTTCAAAAATATATGAGTGCTAATAATTCTTCTCTCCCAAAAGAACTAATTTTGACTTTTTGGGGTCAAATTATGACATTTTTAGCCACACATTAAATATAATCCAATTAAATAAATGTTACATAGTATAAAATTTTGATACTAAAATTATAACCTAAGATAAACCAAATTGCATTAAATTTGCATTACAATTGAATACACTTTTTCACAGTTTGTGATAAAAAAAGTCACATACCAAAAAAGATTGAAACCTTTTTCTAGAATGGGGTATAATAAAAGTTGATCTGAATTGACAATTATTAGTGGTAGGCAAGAGTGACCAGCGATGGCCGATAGTCGCAAGTGGCCAAAGACTGAGTGGCGACATCAGTACCCGATGGTTGAAAAAGATATCAAAACTTTGAAATTCTCATATTGATATATCTAAATATCCGAGGACACCCACACCTAGGAGGATTGTAATATCGAGAGATATCAAATCCATGCAATCTTTATACTTCGTCAGACACTCGCAAAAGTGATGAAGGGAGCTATTATATATATAGAGTATATAAACATATGAAAAATGCTATGCTTAAAGAGTCAAAGTACACTCGTCCAAATGGCAAATTAAAGCATGTGATCTTCAAGCCTATAAATGGTTTCCCGTAAATATAACAGGCAATGAGAAAGTGTGATAAAGCAAAGCTGAAAATTGAAGTTTGAAAAAGGAGTAGCAAGTGGCCAACGAAACTTTAAAAGAGCTGAACCATCACAATCTCGAATCTCAACATATGTGTATTAAAAACCAGCAATCGTAAAACCTTGCCGATGGTAAAAAAACATCATTACATGGGGACGACACGAGCCTTGTACATGCAAATGTATGCCATATGCCAATCACCTAAAACCCATTCAAGGAAAGAATGTAAATGTTGTTAGAAGGCACATCATTATTGGAAGATTGAAGTTTGGATCCTTTTTTTTTGCAATACAATCACTTGATTATTATTGAAAGATCAGCGAAACATGAATTATTCCGTACAAATATTCCTTTTTAGGAAATTAATACATACATGTACATATAAATAAAACGAGTGAACAAATATTTTAAGTATTTTTATTGAGTTCGAAAATATGTTGTATTTTCCACGCCATTTTCTCATCCTAGAATTTCAAGAGTTCCAAACGAGCATTAGGCCACAAAAGATTTTTTGAAAGAAAGGCATTTCTGTCACCCAAACAACGTTGTCACTAATTTTGGTTATGTACAGCACTTACCTCCCCCAGAAAGTTTGGTAATGTCTTCCTCACGCTGTAGTGTAGGATTATCATCATCAAATCGAACCCATTTTCCTAAATACAGTGGTTAATGAAGCAGAGGGACGTTAGTAGAAAAGTATGGAGTAGTTACTATAAATGGATCTATAATGTTCTTGAAAGCAACGGACCATTTTCTTGCTTGACCCAGGCAACATAATGCCCTGAGTCTGCACTTCTTCCCTTATGAGTCAGCACAGCAACCAAATCATATACACCAGTCAGTTGCTGTTCCTTTTCAGGCAATGCACCTAAAGTCGAGGATTTAGTGAGTTGCATTCCACAAAGAAATCATTTTCGTCTGTCCCAAGTGGTTTCATTATCAATATTGAAATTTTTTTTATCAATATTGAATCATTCAAGCTCCAACTTAAGGTATGAATACAAAAAATATTGAATCATTCATTAGTTCATTTCTAAATATTTTAAAAAAAATATTTATTTATAATATTGTGGTATATATCCATGAAATGATTAAAATTTGAAAAGAATATTATAATAACCTTTTATTTATACTACCTCCGTCTTATACTATCTGTCCGGTTTGACTTTTTTCAATCAAATTGGGCAAACTTTGATATAATCAATAAAAAAATGATTTCATTATATTTAACTTGCACAACGCTTTCAAAAAATTATATCATTGCATCAATATGCAATACAATCTTTATTTAATTGATGATCAAAATTCTGACTAAAAAAATCAAACTGGACAAATACTATGAGACAAAAGCATAACTTAATATCTTATTACGTGTTTATGTGAAATACAAGTGCTAAGAATTTAAATATTTTAAAACCAAACACTCATAATCAATTGCATCGACTTAACCGATAACAATGGGTCATAAACCATGCAATCTCAACCCAAACCTACTGGCCCGACCTGACCGACATGTTTGCCGGCTCTACAAACCATGAAGTTTATTTTGGGATGGAGGGAGTATATAAGAATGTATGCATGCATGTAATAACATCTGTTCCAAAAAAAGTCTTGCTTTATCAAGGTAAACCTTTTTTAGCACTATACAACTATTTGAAATCATAAAATTTGACTATATTTTTAAAAATTTACATACTTGACTTGTGTGGGATGTTTTTTTTTGGAAATGACAATTACATTCTTTTTGTACAAACAAGATTCTATTTTCGGGATGAATAAGTTTTCAAATAGGAACCTTTTTGGGGTGGATGGTGTATATGTTTAATCTTTATGGGATGGGGGGAGTACTTGATACAATGGCTAAGCAATTCTCTCTAAAACAAAAATGATATAAGAATGCAGTGAAGCCCGAGGCAGTAGGACGGGAAGGCCACCATGATTACCTGTTTGCAGTGCAGACTTTGAGGCCTCTCCACTTCCACCTGACGATTCCTGCACCCATGGCAGAGCAAATGTATAATACTAAATTAATTCGAGGAATAAGTTGGGACTGAGGCTAACAAAGCCAAGTCTAATGTGCAAGTAGAGGAATACTGAAAGTATGGGTGTCAATGTGAGGCCAGGTCAACAACATACAGCTGCATCAACCATTTTGACATCATTGTCCTCTGAACTGGAACCCTTTCCGGCATTTCCGCTATCTTTTAAACCAAATTTCCTACCCTCTGCATCTCTTAAAGCCTGTTTGAAGATGGAAATCACCAAACCAAAGAAAAGGAAGTATAAGGCAAAGCATCTGCACCTCCTCCACTGATGAGACTGTCAGGGAAAAAGTAATGGTTCCAAAAATTGTAACCAAATGTAAGAGTACACACCTTGCGAGGAACTTCCAGTTTCTTTTTCAAATCATCTGAGCACAAGTCAAAGACATCCAATTCCAATGGATAATCTACTTTCTGAAATGGAGACATGATTTAGTAGTGGAATTCAGACATCCCGTTATTTCTTACATTATAGCATGACTGCAAATACTGGAACAATACAAATAAGACACTCAATTATGCAATGTACATAACCAGAGTATATGAGGCACAAGTATCTTAGATTCTTAGTATTTATTGTTGTTAAAGTTTTATTTAGCATGAGAACTGAGAAGAAAGTGTGTTAGGAAATCCTATGATTCTCAGCTAGACTGCTATATTGATAATTTGATACAATGATCACTGTGAAAATGAACCGTGCCCAGTGATTCTCCAGTACTACGACAACAACAAACCCAGTAAAGGCCCAAAGGAGTAGGATCTGGGGAGGGTGTGTGTATGCAAACCTTATCCCTACTTGGAAATAGAGCCTGCTTCCAAGAGAACCCAGCTCAAAAACAAAAGCACAAAGTAAACACAATAGCATGAAAAAAGTAAGAGCAAAGCTACAAAAAGCACACATACCAACACTAGCTACTAGACCCAAGGCATGCATGCACAAGCTACAAAGGCAAAAAAACATAGCAGCAAAAATTATAAACTAAGGCCCAAATGTCTACCCAACTACTTTAATCAGTAGCAAATTGCATGAATCCACCCCCCCCCCCCCCGCCCCCGCGCGAAATGCTGCTTCAGAACATCCATTACCAATGCAAACAGGATAGGACTAAGCACAGATGACAGACCCCTGGTGTAACCCCATCTCCACAGGGAAGGGGTTATAGTAACACCCGACATCCACCTTGGTCCTCACCATGACATACATGTCTTTGACCGCATGATGTTAGCAACCGGTACCCCTCTATACCCTAGGCACCTCCACAAGATCTCCATTGAAACCCTGTCCACGTCAATAAACATCACGTGTAGGTCCCTCTTTATTGACCTTATACTCCTCCATCATACTCCTCAGAAGGTGAATGTCCTTCGTAGTAATTTGTTCATGCATGAAACCAAACTGATTCTTGGAAATGCCCACCCCCCCCCCTCAACCCAGCCTTTATGATACGTAGAAACTAAAAATTGTTGACCTCCACCACCACCATACTTACAGTTACATTTCTCAAAATTAGCATGATCAGTAACCTCATCATTTCTGACGGAGTAATGGGGTCCACACCCCTTCAAAATAAAACATTCCATGCCCATGCCAGTCAGTTAGTCAGTCACCACAACTCAAAACAAAATTGTCGCTTTTTAGGAATAAAGCTTTCCAATAACCGCCCCATTGCAATCTCCATAATTGGTAAAAAGAGAAAAAAGGTAGAAACAAAAAAAAGGAAGCCATCTAACCCATCTTTTAATATGCGAGAAGGATAGAAAGAGATAAATAAAATATTACCCGTAAAATCTTTGCTTTTTGATTTGATTCCCTTTTCCAGAAAAATCGAACAAACTGAATAGTCAAATATCTGGCAATCAAAATAGAGTATCATCCCAATGGCCAATACAAGTAACATTGTTATGGATCATTAATCAGCAAGTGTGAATGAAGGATAAAAATGGAAGAACTTCTATCCAGGAACAGCACATCACAAACAGGAAAATTTTGGTACTGTTTGAAAACAAAAATCTCAAAAAAAAAAAAGAATTTTTTTTATGGGTGGCTGGTGGAAGCTCTATGTTTAGAGATGAAGTTAAGAGAACATTAAAACTAATACACACCTTGGCAAACCATTAATCCTAGAATCTTTAATGTAAACTGCACTGCGACCTAAAGAAGGAGAAGCTTTCTCCAATTCTGATTTCAGGCCCTGGGCAGTTAACAAGTAGACTGTTGTCTTGAAACTGAGATTTAAATTATCCGGAAATGTGAAGGAAAACATTCAAAACATAAGTGTTAGCATGTAGACTTAATCTTACGTGTTTCAAACCCTCGTGCAAATGGTTCACATCCTGGGAAATGTGGCATTTTAGGGAATAAACTGATTCAGTCTCTGTGGTTTCTTCACCACTTTCTGCACAGTGTACCCTAGCCAATATCACCAATAAAAATGAAAATGCTCATATTGTTTAGCAAGCTATCTTTAAATCAATCACAAAAATATTAATATCAATCATAAGGAGATACAATACATTGCATGAGGACTGTGTATATGGAGTGTAATTTCATTGTGCTATCTTGAGAGTCGGAAGAGCAGTGAAGATTGACTCTCATTCCCAGTGTTTGAAAAGGCGGAATGCAAACCCGCCTTAAGGCGCGCATCACAACTTTTTCCGGAAAATAATGCCCTCGTGCGAATCCCGATTCACGCAATTCCCTTAAAGGCGTATGCCATGGGACTCAATGGGAGAGTTCCATAATATGGATCTATCATCCAGGGTGATGAAGAGATCGCCTATTGTATCAAAATGAACCCGATGGCTCATGGCTGGTGTCCAGTCACTAGTGTGATGAAAAGGTGTCCCTAAAACTGAAAGGCAATTTCTATAAGGCACTGGTTAAGCTGTCTATGTTGTATAGGGCGGAGTATTATGTTCCCGTGCAAATCTACGTATACGCATCACATGACGTTTCTTGGTATGAAGGGCTTGTCGGAGAGGAAAAGATATCTATATGATGCACGTATGTTTATTTTTAGCTCTAAAAAGGCAACCTCTGGCCAACTCCCTGGATCTACTCTCATTTGTCTTCATCTTCACGACCAATGATTTCTCACACAAATGATAAAGAGAGTCCACCATCTGGTGGTTTCCCTTTATCACTTTCTAGAAAATGTAGCACAGGGGCCGGCATTTGAAATCGTTATTCACTCATATCCGAACTTTCGGAGAACCAGAAAATGACGGAAGCCAAAATCCCTAGTCAAAATGGCACATCCATTGTTGTATCAAAAAGCTAAAATCTTTCCGTCATTAAATCCCTCGGTCAAAATGGATCCACCAGCTAAAATACTTCGCAAGAGATAAGATTTTGTGGCAAATGGTAAAATTGTCATTTAACTGATAATTCTTTACCATTTAAGGAAAGTGGGAAAAAGATATTGGACGATCCAAAAAGGAAAATAGGATGAAAGATATTGGACGTAGGGCATACCTTATTTAGTTAAGTCTATGCAGCTAAAATTCATTCTTATTTTTCTTACTTTTTAATATCAAAATGAACTACACTTCCACCTTTCTTAACTTTCATGCGAATCATGCCACTACCACATGTCCCAAAAAAAGTGAGACAGTGAGAGTAGCCTTTTCATGTTTCTCTCATTGTCTTTTCCCATTTTCATTTACGTGTTGGGTTGTACTAATTTGACTCAAGCAGGAAGCAGCACGTTTTTGACAGCTCTGAAGACTTCTGTAGTTAATATGTTGGCCTCAGTATTCGACCGACATGATGCATGAAAGAAGGAGCTTTAGCGTCTTCTAAGGTTGGTTCTCCACAACTACACTCCTCATCTAACTAATGATTTCACATTTATTTTTTCTTGGGGTGGAGTTGGGGGTCTTCTAAAGGGGTCCTTATTCCTCCTATTATATCGATGAGTTTCCACTATATGTAAAATATGAAGAGGTGGGGGTACGATGACACTCATTATAGGTCTTCCAAGAACATAAAACCAAGTTTAATTAAAGGTGACAGATTAAAGGCAACCTAATAATCAACAATGCTAATTCCAAACCACTTGTTACTATACAGATCTGACCATACCAACGGAGCTTAAAGAGTCATTGACAATCTTTTAGTTTGAGACACATAATAGACTAAATAAAAATGGAACATTAAACTCCCCATGCTTCTTACTTTCTCTGAAGTTTTGGGCACTAAATGCAGGAATACATCTAGATTCTAGAGTCTAATGAAAACAACCTCTCTGTCTTTCCAGAGGTATGACTACATACATCTTGACCCCCAGACCCAATGGAGTTAGGATTATACTAGGTTGTTGGGTTTTACTAATTTGTGATTTTCTATTATTGAGTCAGGGTCTTTTAGTAACAACCGATATACCTTTGCTAGGCTAGTGTAAAGGTCATTTACGCCAACCTCCATGGATGCCACTTGTGGGACTATACTAGGTTGGTTGTGGACTTTGTGGTTGTGTGTGTGTCATAGAGAGAGAGAGAGTATACACACATCCACATAAACATAGACACACATATACACATGTTTGTGGATAGCCAAATGAATTCCAGGAGTAATCTCCCGTTTGACCATAATAAAATTGCAGTCACCAAAGCAATCATTAACAGCACAACAGCATTTATGTTATGCCACTTCTTTTAAGTAAAAGACACTGGAGGACAATATTTTGGCCAAGGAACTGTCATTATGAATAGACAACTTAGACAGTAGACACCAATGGTTCATCGCTCTAGCTCTACTTAACAACAGTACATAGATCAGAGAATGAATAGAGTTATTCACACAAAATGAATTCCAGGAGTAATCTCCCGTTTGACCGTAGTAAAATTACAGTCATAAAAACAGCACAACAGCATTTATGTTATGCCACTTCTTCTAAGTGAAAGACACTAGAGGAGAATATTTTGGCCAAGGAACTGTCATTATGAATAGACACCTTAGACAGTAGACGCCAATGGTTCATTGCTCTAGCTCTACTTAACAACAGTACATAGATCGGAGAATGAATAGTGTTATTCATTTTCATGCCCTTGAAATGATAACCCAATTATGTTCAAAAGCAAAACCTAAGACATCTGAAGTATCACATACTGATAAGATAGGAGAAAAAATACCTACTGACAAGGTCAATGCCAAAAATATCCTTCACAACATCTGTAGTATCACTGCAAGCATATTTAACAAAGAGTTGCTGGAATTGTATTTTTAGAACGATGAACTATCAACAACACTTTTAAATTATGGAAATTTTGCACAAAATGCAAGTGCACAAAATGCAAGTAAATACTCCCTTCGTCCCTCTAGGTTCTTCCAAGCTACTATTCATAGGGTCAAACCTTATTCACCTTCTTTACCTATTTTCTTTGATTATTTGATAAAATAAAATAGTCTTGTCACCACTTGTTTTGTAGATCTTTTGATGCAGTTTTTAAACATATAGTTTCTATATTTTAATTCCACACCAATTAACATTCGTAATGAATTAAAAGTAACTACAGTCAAACATCATAACGCGAACCAGGAAGAACCTAGAGGTACCGGGGGAGTAGCAAACAATTTTAGAAGGGGGACGATAAATTGAGTAACAGAATACTCCGTAGTATTTTATACTGCCATTTTGTACTATTATATGGAAACCATCTAGGATCCATAGGAGAGATAAAAAAAATTATTTAATGGTGAGATAAACTACCAACTAAGCAATGGTACAAAAGGGTAGTACAGTTGGGCAATACAAATTTGTAATCTATCACTCTGTCGTTCATTGCCCTTTTTAGAATACCAAAACCAGAGTAACACAAACTGTATCAACCAGCATAAAAGATGGCACAGGAAGGTGGTGGCAAAGAAAACTGGGATCAAATTTCAATGCACATGCTTTTATAGATCATAACTACACACCAATTTTAATTTTTAAAATTTTCAAATAGAGACTAAATTACCTGGGCCCTGGCGCTTTAAGAGACTGTGAAAGGGTGTAGAGAATTTGTGTCCAACATTCTTCCGCATCCTGTTATCATATGCAATATGTCAATCACAGTACTCAAGGGTGGAATGTCATAGATAAAGATTGACGGACTTAGGGCCACCTGCTGCATGAAAACGCCATTGTTGAGCTGGCCAAATTGAGGGTATTTCTTACGTAATACCTGCCAGCAAGACAACAAAACCTATGTATTTATCCTTAAAGAAATACAAGCCGCTTATTCCACAATTAGGTACCAATCAATCAATCACGTAATTTGATCAATCACAAAAAGTCAAAACCATGTTAATGAATCACAACACAAGAGAAATGCAGATAGATCAAATTAGTATAAGATGATATCCTTTCTCCACAACTCAATCGCAACAGTAAACTGTTTTTCACACACTGGTGAACATATCTTAGATTAACGAACTAAATAAATTATTCCATGAAATGTAGCATACGTACCATCCAGAATTGCATGGGAGACACTGCATTAACATTTTTATCAAGTTCATTGAACAAATCTCTGGTTGCAACAGTTAGAAGATTGGATGAGCTGTCCAAATCAGTTCGCCTATCCCCATCGCTGTACCTAATAGAAAAAATCCAAAAGGCACCAACATAATGTATCAACATACAATAAAATATACTCCGTAATATACAACTGCTTTTGATTACAACAACAGGACAAAGAGGCACAACTGCATTAGATTCACTTCCAAATTACTCTAATTACTTTTATGAATGAAAATAACTCACTGCGTCAGAGCAGTCTTCAACTCTGGAACAGAATGGAGGCATTGAACTGTGGAGTTCATGTAGCAAGTATTTCCTAGATTTAACAAGCCAGCAGAATGACCCTGGTAATGATGAAGCAGTATGTCCCAGTTGTAAGGTGTGATTCAAACTAATAGAAATAAATTTCCCTAAAGCAAAACCATGCAGCCTAATTTGAAGAAGAGTGAAACAGATCAAACTAGAGATGAGTGAGCAAAGTGGATGAAATCATCTTTCAAAATTCCATTATGAAAATTATATGCGATAGAGATTCCAAAATACAGACCACACTAACAACTTGCTCTGCTTCTGGCATATCTTCAACAAAAACAGTGCTTTGTTCAGGGGCCTTGACAATTTCATCAGCAGTGCCCATCATCATTAACCTTTGTCCCTGAAAAGGAAAAGTGTAAACCCGTCATATTTTTTTGCTGGTGACTTTATTAACACATTGGAGTGCATTAAAGTTTATCATATGGGTGACATACCTCTTTAACTCCAACTTTTGACCAATCAGCATCATCCTATATGAGAATTGAAGAAAATAAAAATAAGGAGATGCAGTTTATCCATAATGAAACAGAATCTAGCCCTAGAAAGAAGCATTTGAATCAAAATTCAGGAGCATAGACCTTTCTACTACCTTCAGTAAACCTCCTTTGACCATAATCTTCTGCCTTTCTGGTGGTACCCCTGTCAGATCAAACAACTGGCATTTGAAGACATATGGAGGCTGGCTAGTATCGATTTCCACAGCAGGAAACAGCTCTTTTTGCCATTTTACACTGACTGCAACATACAAGTTGAATACTCAACACAAAAACTTCCCCAAAAAAAACTTCCATGAACAGAATAAAAGCCAGTTCTCCTGGACTAAACTTCCTTCCAAGAACACAATTGCAGCTATCAAATGAAAATGCACAATGCTCAATCGAGCTATTAACAGCTCAAAATGGTTCATTCGCAACCCTAACAGAAAAAAATCCACAAAACAAATCGAGCAACCAAATCTAATCAACCATTTGAACTAAACAGCCATCCATTTAGCTCAAACACTCGAGACTCAAGTGCAAACAACATGAAATCTATCACAAAAATCGAAAAATTAAACGAACAAAAAAACTGATTCTGGAAATGCGTAATTCCCGGAATGAAATTGAAATTTAAGCTTCCTAGTCCGGACCTGTAAGCATGTTGGTGATATAGAGTAAGATCGAGACGGAAGAAGAGTAGAATGGCGTTTGGTCCTGTTTGAATGTTGCTTGGAGAGAAGGGCAATTCGTATCAAGGTGAAAGCTCTCCGCAGTCCGCATATATCCGTGCGGTTGGACATTCTCATACTAACCAAAAAGTGGTCTTTACTATTACAGCCTCTCGATAACTCCAACTTGTTTGCGTGTTTTCATTGATAATTTGATAAAATAAAATATTCTTGTCGTCTCTTATTTTGTATAGTTTTCGATGTAGTTTTTAAATATAATTTTTTTATGTGTTATTTCCATACCAATTTTCAAATAAAATCATTTTAAAATCTACACGATTTTGCACGTTAATCAAAACAAGAAATTCTTTCTGGAACGGAGGGAGTATAAAAAAGAATTAAATGTTTTATTAAAAATATACTTCGTACTACGTAGATGTTTATTTAAATAATAAGAAAATATTTATTTTGTTCATACGGAGTATAGATTTATAGTGTACCTTAGGTCCATCATAGAATTTACCCTTATTTTGTCTAGTTTTAACTTTTTACAGTCAATAATTTTCAATATTTGACTTATAATTAAATAAAATATGATATATTAATTATATAAAATAATAATTTGAAACTATTTTAAAAAATAAATATAATAAAATTATTTTTATATCAATATGTAATATGACTTCTATTTTATTTGTGATCAAAATTTGTCAATTTTAACTGAAAAAAGTCAAAACTAAAACTGTCAAAAACGAAGGTAGTACATAATAATCTCACTTTTACCCCGTTGAAATTAGCTCACATTTTATTTGATGCATAATAATTTAAAATTTACTAAAATGTACGTGTTTTGGCTCACAATGTAATGGTTGTTTTGAATCCTCTAGCTTTTGTTGATCCCGATGTGATTAAAAAACTACTCCGTATTTGTTTGGTTCCAGAAATAAAAATTGAATTCGTGGGATGGTTGGAACTTAAAAGCTTGGATTTGTGCACATAAGGTAGGTCCCGAGCTTAAAACCTATATATTAGAAGGATTTAGGAAAACAAATAAACATTTTGGGTTGATTGGGTCGTGCTCGCAAAATCGACAGTAAACTGCTAGCTAAGAAGAAGTCCGCTAGATGCTATTATTGTGGCAAAAGGGGCCACTAGAGGCGCAACTGCGCAAAATTATTGGCAGAGCGGAAAAAAGGAAAGAAACCTCATCCTCAGGTATCTTCGTTATTGAAGTCAACATGTGTCATATCATCTCTTGGGTGATGGATACTGGATGTGGTTCTCACATCTATACTTCTATGCAGGATTTGCATCATTGTATATAGTTGGCGGAGAGAGAGAGATACAACTAAAAGTCGGTAATGGCGCACTCGTCTATGCATTGGCCGTTGGAACCTATAGTTTATCTATACTTAGTGGTCTTGTATTGCAGTTAAATAATTGTCTGTTTGTACCTAGTATGAGCAGATCATCATTTCTGTATCCTGCCTTAACAAAGTAGGATTTTCGCTCGTTGTAAAAGACAAAACACTTTCTGTCTTTAGAAATGATATATTTTATGCAACTGCAAGGATGGCCAATGGTCTCTATATCATTGATATAGATACCACCGTATATAACGTAGATGTTAAGAGAAACAAATCAGTCAATTTGAATCTCGCATACCTTTGGCATTGTCGTTTGGGCCACATTAACGAGAAACACATATCCAAGTTACATTGCTCTGGTGTACTTGATTCATTTGGCTTCTAGTCATATGATGTATGCAAATTTTGTTTACTTGGTAAAATGACAAAGGCTCCATTCGCCGGTCACGGTGAAAGGGCGAGTGACTTATTGGGCATCATACACTCCAACGTGTGTGGTCCAGTTAGCACTGTAGCTAGAGGTGGTTATTCTTACTTCGTTACATTTACTGACGACCTTAGTAGATATGTATATGTGTATCTCATGAAACACAAATCGGAATGCTTTGACAAATTCAAAGAATTCAAGAATGAAGTAGAAAAACAATTAGGCAAAAGTATAAAGACCCTCTACTCGGATCGAGGAGGTGAATACCTAAGCCTGGATTTTGATGACTATCTGAAAGAGCGTGGGATCTTATCCCAACTCACTCCTCCGGGGACACCTTGGTTAAATGGAGTGTCCGAGAGGAGAAATCTAACTTTGGTTGACATGGTCCGAATCATGATTAGTCAGACAACATTGCCAGAATTATTTGGGGATATGCATTAAAAATAGAAGCACACACACTCAACAGAGTTCCATCTAAAGCTGTCGAGAGCACACCATACGCACTATAGCGTGCGAGAAATCCGAGTTTCTTGTACTTTAGGATTTAGGGCTGTGAAGCTTTTATATAACGTCTCATGACGTCTAGTAAGTTAGAGCCAAAATTTGATAAAGTAAATTTTGTGGGATACCCCAAGGAAACTAGAGGGTATGAGTTCTATCATCCATCCGATAACAAAATCTTTGTTGCTCGGAATGGAACCTTCCTTGAGAAGGAGTTTCTCTCTGTTATCACTAGTGGAAGAAAGGTACACCTCGAAGAAATTCGAGAACCAGAAGAAGAAGTCCCGATAGTGTTGGAACCTGAGCATAGAGATCAAGCAATTGAACCTCAAATCGCTCAAGATATACCACGTAGGTCAGCCCGGATACGTAATCCTCCGGTCAGATATGGATTTCTCATGTCTGATGAAGGTGACGTCTTGTTGGTAGATCAAGACGAACTAGAGACCTACCAAAAGGCAATTATAGGCCCCAAATCCAATCTATGGCTTGAAGCCATGAAATCTGAAATGGAGACCTATGTACACAAACTAAGCCTAGACCTTGGTTGATGCGCCTGAAGGGGTAAAACCCATTGGATGCAAGTGGGTCTTCAAAAAGATGACAGACATAGACGGGAAAGTTCATACCTTCAAAGCTAGATTAGTAGCAAGAGGTTATAAACAAATCCACGGAACCTAACTGTTTTCAAATTGTTGGTCAGTCTGCCAAAGTTTGTAAGCTGGAATATTCAATCTACGAATTGAAACAAGCATCTCGGAGTTGGTACATACACTTCAAAAATTGTTGGTTTCGAGAAGAACTCTGACGAATCTTTTGTATACAAGAAGGTCAGTGGGAGTGTAATAGTATTCCTAATCTTATATGTTGATGACATAGTGTTAATGGGTAACGATATTCCCACTCTCACTTCTGTAAAGACGTGGTTGATCAAGAACTTCTCCATGAAACACTTAGGGGATGATAGTTATGTCCTTGGCATAAGAATCTATCAAGATAGATCAAGAAAGTTAATAAGTCTGAATCAAAGTACAATATAGATAAAATCCTTGATTGATTTAGCATGTCTAACTCAAAGAAAGGATCTTTACCTATGACACTTGGCACAGTTCTTTCTATGAGCCAGAGTCCTTCTACTCCCGAGCAGAAGGAACTCATGATGAAGGTTCCACACGCCTCTACGATATGATCCATCATGTACGCCATGATATGTACTAGACCTGATGTCTTATTCGCTTTAAGCGTGACCAGCAGATACTAGGGAAGTCTAGGAGAAACACACTGGAGAACGGTCAAGAACATCCTCAAGTATCTTCGTAATACTAAAGATGCATTCCTGGTATGCGGTAATGAGGAAGAGCTAAAGGTGGTCCGTTACACTGATGCTAGCTTGCAAACCGACAAAGACGACTCAAAATCACAAGCAGGATATTTGTTTTACCTGAATGGCAGAGCTTTTAGCTGGAAGAGCTTCAAGGAAGACACAACCGCTGATTCGACTACAAAGGCTAAGTACATAGCTACCACCGAGGCAGCTAAGGAAGCTGTTTGGATCAAGAAGTTCATCACAAAACTTAGAGCGATTCCTAGTATTAATGACCCTATTCCGTTGTTTTGCGGCAACACTGGGGCCATTGCACAGGCAAAGGTCTCACCAGAAAACCAAACGCATTGTACGACATTATCACATCATACGAGAAATTGTAGATAGAGGAGATGTGATGATTTCCAAAATAGATACTGACGACAACATTGCCGATCCCTTGATTTAGGGAAGCTAAAGCATGAGGGTCACACTAGTTCCATGGGTATTCAACCGATGCCAAATTGGCCATAGTGCAAGTGGGAGATTGTTGGAGTTGTGCCCTGATGGCCAAACTATTTTATCACTATTCTATCATCCAGAGACCCGACCCTCTCGATTGTTTTCAGCTAACGATGGGAGTTTCTAATGTGCTGGCCATCGTTCACATAATACTATTCACAATCGATCCTAAAGTGATGCTTTATCGTTGTTTTTGGGTTTTTGAAGTAATTTTTTGAGCTTTGGATTGATTTTAGAAAAGTATTCCTTTTCCGAGTTTATCTTTGCAGATTTGGGGCTCGATTTGGCTGAATTGAAGGTCAACTCCCTCGTGGTTACTATTCACCAACGGCTATAAGGCAAGTTCTTTACTAGAATAACATGATTTCTTCTTTTGATATTGTCCGATTTCAAGCAGCAATTTCTTCCAGAGAAGAAGAAATATTTGTTCCATCTCGCGTTCACCGGCGCTGCTACTCCGCCGTTGGGTTGCCTCGCCGCTGCTGGGTGCTGAGTAAAACGCGAAGGTCGCCGGACTCGCTGGACAGAGCTGGGACAAAGAGAGAGGTCGCCGGATTGCTCTTTATCGTCAGGGGAAAAAGTCGTCGAGTCGCTGAACCTCGCTGGAACGCTGGAAGAACCAGAGACGCCGTCTCCCACTGTCCGAGTTCATTGCCGGACGGATTGGAGAGCATCCCCCTAGTGGCCCAGTGCCAATTGGCGTCCTTCATGGGTCGCCGAGTCTAGGACCGTTGCACCTTACATCCGGGCTGATGTGACCTATCGACGAAGAAGAGGGTTGGCGGCGCTGAAGTTGATCGAAGGAGAGAACGGACGGCTGTGTTAACCCTATGCATAACCTCTGTATCTTTGTTTTATTTATTTATTTATTTATTATTTTATTATTACATTCTTACTTTTATTTATTCTACTATAATGTGCTTCTCATGGATGAGTCCTTGCAGCTCCTTCCTGTTGTTGAGACACTTTATTTGAGAAGGAACAAACTTGCTAGAGTTGATAATCTTCGGAAGTGCACCAAATTGAAGATTGTTGTGAATTTCAGGTTCATATAATCATATGGAATTGTAGAACGTATTTGTTTGGTTCATTTTGTGCAGTCATTTTGA